TGTGGGTGAGTGTGTGGGTGTGTGTGTGTGTGTGTGTGTGTGTGAGAGAGTGTGTGTGTGTGAGTGTGTGTGTGTGTGTGTGTGTGTGTGTGTGTGAGTGTGTCTCCTCACTCAGCAGCTCTCTGTAGTCTTTCAGTTGTTCGGCCTGCGCTTGCACTGTCGCCTCTGACACCATCAGTCTCTCCTGCAGATCACGGCTCTCCTGACGACTCACGGCAAGGTCGCTATGGAGACGCTCCACCTGCTCCCGAAGCCCCGCCTCCACATGCTGCCAGAACCCAATGGCTCCGCCTCTTCCTGCTCTCGGACTGCCGCTATCGCCATCAACCTCTTGCTCCATTTCTACATCCTGATCATAAAATAAACACACCGAATCCTTCACAAACCAATGTTCTTGCCTGATCATTTTTAGTACTACTATCTGTACTTTGCTATATTGAAATGAACCAGGTTAGGGTTAACCAGTGCTAGTTATGTGGACGATGTGGCATGATTTAGTACCTGAACTTTGAGATGGGCTGCAGGTTTGTGTGACAGCAGAGCTCCAAGGTCCAGAGAATGTGGTCTGGTGCACCTCCTCTTCCTCCTCCCCTCCCGCAGCTCCACTCTCGGGGGCCCACGCTTGCCGTGACGGGCCCGGGCATCTTGCCCTTCCTCTTCATCATTATATTCTTCCTCCTCTTCCTCTCTGAACGTACGGTAAACTCTCTGAGGCTCATGGGAGTTTGGCCGGTCTGTTTCACGCTTCTCCAACCTCGCAGATTCCTCCTCATCTGCTGCTAATCCAGGCTCGTTCCTACGAGAGCAACGACACAATCACAGCAGAGCAGGAAGAAGCCATCAAACAGAAGTGATCTGCACCGCTGTTGGTACCTGCTGTGAGAGAGTGAGGAGCGGCCCGTCTCGCCTTCGTTTCTCTGCTCTGATGCATGCTGGGACATCAGCGCCCCGTTCCCCGGTCTGCTGAACTCCTCGGCTCTCTGTCAGGAGAACACAGTGAGCTCTGAGCTACGCTAATACAAACAAATGTTAAAGACCCAATGAAAGGGCTCAGTGAGCAGCGCTTTGTTTCCAGTGTGTGTTGATTGTATTTCCTGTTGACACGGGAAGTCAGGTGGAACATATCAAAGGGAAGAGCCCATTTCTAAAGAACATTGTGTTTCAGAAAGTAAGCTTTACAGCTTAAATATGTGAGTTAAAGACATTGTATTTTAGCATGTATGCTAGCACTAGAGATAAACAAGCTTTAAGCTACAGATGTGAATTAAAAGCCACAAAACAAATATTTTGATGCTACAGTGTCTTTAAGTAAATCATAATATCTGAAGGGTGTGTGGCTTTCATCTGCCTGATAACTGAAATATCTGAATCACGGATGGACGATCAAACCCTGAACTCTAGGAGACGTGGCACTGACAGAGAAAGCTCTGAATGAAAGTGTTTGCTCATTAACAGCTGTTTTCTTCTTACCTGTGCGCTGGTCAAACTCTGAGCTGTCAGTTTGAGGTCGTTGTCCTCTATGCTGTCCGTGAACTCTTCACTGCTGTCGTGATCGTCTTCATCTTCATCACTGCTGGATTCTAGAAGGAAACATGACAGACACTAAGATTCCTCTTCATTCATCTCTTTCTTTCATCTGTCTGTTTCTCTGTTGTCCGGTCCTTGTCTCGTTCTGTCTGTGTCTCCAGAGCCGAATCTGTCTGTCCAGCTGCCTTTCCTTCACTCCCATAGTGAATGTTAAAGGGTTAGTTCATGCAAAAACAGACATTCTGCTGTCATTTACTCACTCTGTCATTGCATACCAGTATGACTTTCGTTAGAGGAACACAAAACATCATTTTTGTCTCTTTTTTTTCTTTTCATACAATGAAGGTCAATGGGATTCAATGTTATTTGTACCTCAACATTTCTCTAAACATATTGTTTTGTGTCCCAAAGAAGAAAATCAGTCATAAAGACTTAAATAACATAAAGGGTGAGTAGATGACAAATTATCTTTTTTGGGTGGACTGTCCTTTTAAAGTCACATTCTGCTCTGTTATTCTGGTTATATAACCTGAGTTTATATAAAAGTCCTGAATCTACAGCAGCAAAGAAAGAAAGATTACTGTAGTACTGCTAGATTATGAAACCATCACTAACCCTAACTAACCCGTCCATGTGGATGTTCAGCTGGAATCTGCTGCTTCAGTTCGTCTGTGAATGTTGTGACGCGAGAGATTTGCTGCAGTTTATTCAGTAACACTGAAGGATTACTGGAGTCATGTGGAATATTTGTACAGTATCATGCAAGACAGATAAATATAGATGAAGTGTTTCATATTAATAACATTACAAAATATTGTATAATAATCGGTATTGTATAAAGCGCTATACAAATAAAGGTGACTTGACAAAGACCCCGAGACGGTGTTATAAAGTCACTTCTATTTGGATAATTTAAGATTCTAGTTTACTTTTTATGTGTTACTTTTCTTAATTGACTGCAGTAGACAGATTAATATTTCTTGAAGAAAAAAAATCACTGACTTTTTAAATCTATTGTTTTTGTCTTCTCATTTCAGCCAAACAAATATTATAAAACAAATGCCATTTAAGGTGACAGCAGTCATGACTAGCAGTCATCTGTAAAGAGGCCCTGAAACACATAGAAAAACTACTTACTAGATAAATAAAATTCATTAATACAAAATTAAAAACATTTGCATAGAAAAAACTGGTAAATAAAATAAAATATATAGACAATAGGACAAATGCAATTTACTAATTACAAACTAAATAAACTAAGTTTTCAGGTACAGGGTTAGGTATTGATAGTTTTCACGTGACGTCACACCCGTATGGGAACGCCCACCTGGAGGGCAAAACAGTTATTTTTACTTAAGTAGCAATATAGTAAAACACAGATATTAAAAGGCGAAATTCAGTAAACACCTTATTGATCATGTATATTTTGTACAGGCAAGCAGATGAAGCCAGAATATAAAGCAATGTGCAAAGTTTCACCGTTAAATGTTTTCCCATAGAAAACACTGAACCATTAAGCGGATTGCGTTCATATTCCGGCCCTAATGCTTGCCTATGTAAACTGTGCATCATTAATATAGAGAATATTACTGTTTTAAATATATTAAGGCACTTTAAGTGTTTTTACACAGTTTTGTCGCACTGTTTAATGATTTAAATATTGCCGCGGGTGCTTAATGTGGATTGCAAATGGCCAAAACCTGCATTTTGTTCACATACCTTTGTTTTATTCTTTTGAGAGGTGATCTAAATATTTGCGGCTGTGAAACAGATGGAAAACTGACAGTCTTGTGCTGCAGTTCTGTGGATGTTCTGACCTCCAGGTCTTCGAGCCGCTCACGTGACTGAAAGCTATGAATAGTAATTATATTTCAGGTATACTAGATTTAATTAACATGTCTTAATATAAAAATAAAATACTGTATAGTCTCCACTGTTACTGAATTACATATAAACTGATTCATAATAAAAATACAAAAGTGTTTTTTCTGGTCGACTAGTAGTCCTTCATTTTAAACATTAGTCGACTATTAGTCGCACTTTTATTAATAAACCATATGAATCCTAATAATGAGCCTTTAATTGCCTACATAGCCTAATAAGTGCTCAAGCGCACGCAAAAAAGGCTTGCCACAGTGCACCGGCAAATATAATAATTATGAATGTGTTAGGGAAAAACAGCAAGTACACTGCATTAACGTTTTAATAATTTATTGTTACACTAGTGCTCTCTGTTTTCGGTTTAAGAGATGAAGTCGGCGACACTGACTCGTCATCTCTGCAGTATGCGCCTGTATGCATGTTTCATACGGATTACATAATCTGAGAATATTTGTTTTCTATTTGAATTGGTTCATTTAAAAGTTTCACTCTCTATAGATATATTTTTTATGTCTGTAATAAGTAAAGCATACAAAGAGTTTCGAAGTGACGCGCTCAAGTTCACAGAGACCGAGACGGCAGAAAGCGCAACCTGTTTGCTTTCATTATTTTACAAAAGCACAACGTTTCATTGTTATTCTGAGTGCACACGAATAAACGTAGAGTCTTTACAGATACAAAATATGCATTACTCTTATCTGTATGACCAAAGATGACGAAGTATTTTAAGAGCCAATGATCGCACCGGCGCCTCCATCTGTCCTGCAGGAGCCCAAGCGCTATTGTTCAGCTTCCACGCTCCGCACAAACACGTGAACTGCGCACTTTTTTCTAGGCTAACATTAGATTGAGCTGCCATGTAAAGTTGCTACTACATACATATTTCAGATGATAAGCCATATTTGAGGTCGATGAATGTTAGTTGAGCATATGGATGTCCTGCCTGATGTACTATATTTCCACATAGACCAGCCGTTAATGTTCTGTCCGTCACGGACTGCGTGATTTCGCCACTTCATGTGGAATTTTTTTTTCTGCGACTAAGCGACTAATACAATTTTGGTAATATGCATATAAACAGCCTTTCAATTAGCAGAGTAGAATAATCATGGCTGATAGTAAGACATGCAAACATAAAAGAAAACCAAACTGGACACGAGAACAGCTATAGCCTAATATTAAGGGTACCTATAATCAAAAATTTGGATTTGGGATAACTTCCAAACCAAAGCTGTTACCTTTTTAAAAGCTCATTATCGTCAAATGTTTCTAAAATGTTTATATTCTGAGGTAGATTTCTGGCAACAGCCATTTTGGGATAGTTCAGATTTGGTCTTAGTGACTTAGCAGTCCTCTTTACTACTCCTAACCTTTCACAGATTTAGGAGCTAGTTTTAGCGCTAAAACGCTTTGTGAAACACTCTTAGAACAAAGATTTAGGAGTTATTTTTAATAACCCATTATTTTTAAGATTTTCTCCTAAATCTGAGAGTTATGAGCTACTTTTAGCCTGAAGATATTTTGTGAATACGGGCCCTGATTTACTCCGCACGGTTTACGTTTGCGTGATGTAATGGTCTGGGTGTCTGTCCCTTTAAGACCTGATTGGGGTTTCCTCTGCCCCTGCACTCCTGTGTATCTGCTGGGGGGAAACACATTGTACTTTCTATCGTTTTGTTGCACCTTCCTTTAACATTAATACATAGGTTGATGGTGACCTGCATCGTGTGTTTCTTTCTTCCATAACGCACAATAGGTTGCAAGTGGTGTCCGAACAAAATTCCTGGTTTATTTGCGAATATGTCGCGTAATTATAGTGATCGGCCTGCTCGGATCGTTGGTGGATGACGCCGCGGAAACTGTTTGCACCTGGAACTTTGTTTTCGTTTGGGAAAACTGTCTTATTTCACCGCAGTTGGGACTAAAAAGTTGATTCTCCGCGGGAGTTGGACAGTGCAGACTAGATTTCACAGCGAGTTGATGGCATTCGGCAGAAGTTATTTGCCCTTCATCGCATGGACTTCTGTCGCCATAGAGACTGACTTGGCTCGCGTGCTTTCAGCGGTACTACGGTTTGGGTTGGATTGTTGTATTTTTCATTGACTTTGAACATCGTTCGTGAGTGGATTTCAAGTTTGAAGAAACTTCTTTATGTTGCCTTTCTGCTGATACGGGCATGTGCAAGCTGCGGTTTTTTTCATCAGCTGAAGAAGAGGACATAAATTGCATAAACCGTCCATTTGGAAGGTAAGATGGGTATGACAGATACACAGATTCTTAATGAGATCCAACGTTTTCTGGCAGGTGAGCTTTTTTAATAAGAGGCTGCACTATTGCATGTTTAAAATAGACAGGAACAGAGCCTGAGACCAAGCAACAATTAATTATTGCCATGATACTCTGACCAATAACACTAAAAGCTTGTTTAAAAATGTGAGTAGGGATAATATCTTGATGGCAAACTGTAGGCTTCAAATGTTCAACGATCTCCCCCAAGGTTGCAAAAGATACAGGCTCAAACTGATTAAAAACAGCAGAGCATGTAGATGGGGCTGATGGATCGTAATCCGGTAGTTGGATAGATGATCTAGCAACTTCAATCTTCTCAATAAAATATTTAAGAACATTTTCACAAGTTTGTAAAGAGGCATCAAGACAATCAGGAGCAGGAGGATTAATAACATAATTTAACGTATTAAACAAAACTCTAGGTTTGTGCCGATTTTTTTCAATAATATCAGAGAAATAATTAGCCCTTGCTCTATTTAAAAACTTCTGATAATTGGCTAGAGAATCCTTAAAAATCTCATAAGAAATTTGAAGCTTGTCCTCCTTCCATTTGCGCTCCGCTCGTCTACAAATCTGTCGGAGGGCACGAGTATTCATTTAGTCAAGGCTTTGATTTATGTTTAGCACCTTCAAAGGTGCAATAGAATCTAAAATATTGGTACATGTAGAATTGAACAGAGAAAGTAACTCTTCAGCACATAATTGCGAAGATAAGTTTACACAATCCAAATTTAGAGGAGAAAAAACATTATAAGCAGTGCAAAAATCATTAATAGTTTCAGAATTCACTGTACGGAGACAGCGTGCAGCCACACATGGTTTAACAACAGAACAAGGTAGAGAAATTTCAAACACAACAGACTTGTGATCAGAAAAACCAGTA